ACTTGGTATATTTAGATTTTAAAAGTTGTTTTTCTTATGCACATTATAAATGTACCATCCTAAAGTTGGCCTAATTAGCCAACTTTCCTTGGTTATATCTCATTTGGTAGGTGTTTTTTGTAAAAAAAATCAAACAGAACTGGTCACTTTTTTCATTCCTTGTTTTTTATTCCTGCCTAAATCAATAAAACATAGGCTTTATGTGCCCCTATAACATTAAATTTTTCAGAGAATAGGGCACCTGTGTGGCTCGGTTGGTTTAGCATCTGCTTTTGGCTCAGGTCATGATCCCAGGGTCCTGGGATTGAGTCCGGCTTGGGCTTCCTGCTCAGCGGGGAGTCTGCTTCTCCCTCTGCCCCTCCCCCTCGCCATCCCCACCCCCACTAGTGCACAGGCGCACGTGTGCTCTCTCTCTCTCTCTCTCTCTCTCTGACAAATAAATAAAATCTTTAAAAATAAATAAAGGGAAAAATGAAGGGGAGAAAATCGGAGGGGGAGACGAACCATGAAAGACTATGCACTCTGAGAAACAACTGAGGGTTCTGGTGGGGTGATGGGTTAGCCTGGTGATGGGTAATAAAGATGGCACGTACTGGGGCGCCTGGGTGGCTCAGTCGGTTAACCGTCTGCCTTCAGCTCAGGTCATGATCCCGGGGTCCTGGGATCGAGCCCCGCATCGGGCTCCTTGCTCTGCGGGAAGCCTGCTTCTCCCTCTCCCTCTGCTGTTCCCCCTGCTTGTGTTCCCTCTCTCTCTCTCTGTCAAATAAATAAATAAATAAAAATCTTAAAAAAAAAAAAAAGATGACACGTATTGAATGGAGCAATGGGTGTTATATGCAAACAATAAATCATGGAACACTACATCAAAAACTAATGATGTAATGTATGGTGATTAACATAACATAATAAAATAAAATTTAAAAATAAATAAATAATAAATTGTTCCAAGAATAGATAAAAGAAATGACAATAATACATACATATATTTTACTAGGGTTTTGTAGGGAAGGAATCAGAAAGACTTGAGGAAATACTGAGGATTTGTGATACATGCAGAATTTTTTGTATTAATGCTTTTTGAAAATGAGTTACAGTAATTTTTATTAAATACTGACTTTGATCATATGAAAGTTATCTGAATGAAAATTTATAACTTTTTTCTATTCAAAATAAAATTAAATGGTGAAATTATGCACATTATCACATTTATTGAAAGTTTCTTCTATAAAAAAACAAAAAATGAATATATACATAATAATTAATTATAGGTCATCACAAACACACCTGATGTTTTAGTTTAAAGGTAACCACAACTTTTAAAGAAAAAGTTCAGAATGTACAAATGTTTCCTAAGTTTTTTAAAATTAGGTAACAAAGGAATGTTTCTTCTGGAATGGAAGTAAATTCAGATTTGTTTGAATTTTTATTACTATTTTTCTCATTTATTCCAAACCAGTTAAGCATTTAATATATGATAGGTTAATCACAAATATTTGTAAGACTCTTTGAAAATTATTGGCTTTATCCAAAAACTTACTAAAGTGAATTGATTTTCCAGTATGAATTTTTTCACTCAGATGTTAATAGGCCCATTGTGTGAATAAGATAGTTTCTAACTGTTGTCCTTAGAGCTTGATGAATCATTACCTGTACAATCATTTAAATGAACTTATGACAAATACTTTAAAGGTCAAATACAAGGCATTTTAAGACTGATGAACCAAGACATTCATCCCTTCCTGTGGAAAGTCAGGGAAGGTCAGGCTGGGTTTTTTTCTTTTTTTTTTTCTTTTATTTAAATTCAAGTTAGTTAACATATAGTGTATTATTAATTTCAGGGGTAGAATTAGTGATTCATCAGTTGCGTATAACACCCAGTGCTCATTACCTCATGTGCCCTCCTTAATGCTCATCACCCAGTTACTCCACCTACCTCTCCTCCAGCAACCTTCACTTTGTTCTTTATAGTTAAGACTCAAGACTCTCTTACGGTTTGCCTCCCTCTCTGTTTTTATCTTATTTTATTTTCCCTTCCCTTCCCCTGTGTTTATTTGGGTTTTTTTTCCTTAGATTCCACATATGAGTGAAATCATATGGTATTTGTCTTTTTCAGACTGATTTCACTTAGCATAATACACTCTATTTCCATCCACGTTGTTGCAAATGGCAAGATTTCATTCTTTTTGATGGCTGAGTAATATTCCATTGTGTGTGTGTGTGTGTGTGTGTGTGTGTGTGTGTGTGTGTGTTATATACACCACATCTTTATCCATTCATTAGTCGATGGACAACTGGGCTCTTTCCATATTTTGGCCATTGTGGACATTGCTGCTATAAACATTGGGGTGTAGATATTCTCTGGATAAATACCTAGTAGTGCAATTGCTGGATCATAGGGAGCTCTGTTTTTAACTTTTTGAGGAACCTCCCTGCTGTTTTCCAGAGTGGCTGCACTAGTTTGCATTCCCACCAATAGTGTAAGACGGTTCCCCTTTCTCCACCACCTCATCATCATCTGTTGTTTCCTGAGTTGTTAATTTTAGCCATTCTGACTGGTATGAGGTGGTATCTCACTGTGGTTTGGATTTGTATGTCCCTGATGATGAGTGATCTTTTAGCATTTTCTCTTGTGTCTGTTAGCCATTTGTATGTCTTCTTTGGAGAAATGTCCATTCATGTCTTCTGCCCATTTCTTGACTGGATTTTTTGTTTTTTGGGTATTGAGTTTGATAAGTTCTTTATAGATTTTGGATACTAGCCTTTTTTTCTTTTTTTAAAGATTTTATTTATTTGAGAGAGAGAGCACAAGCAGGGGGAGTGGCAGGCAGAGGCAGGGGGAGTGGCAGGCAGAGGCAGAGGGAGAAGCAGGCTCTCCGCAGAGCAGGGGGAGCCCAATGTGGGACTCGATCCCAGGACCCCGGGATCATGACTTGAGCCGAAGGCAGCCACTTAATCGACTGAGGCAGCCGCTAAACCAACTGAGCCACCCAGGTGCCCCTGGATACTAGCCTTTTATCTGATATGTCATTTGCAAATACCTTCTCCCATTCTGTAGGTTGCTTTTTAGTTTTATTGATTGTTTCCTTTGTTGTGCAGAAGCTTTTTATCTTGATCAAGTCCCAGTAGTTCATTTTTGCTTTTGTTTCCCTTGTCTCTGAAGACATGTCTAATAGGAAGCTGCTGCAGCCAAGGTCAAAGAGGTTGCTGCCTGTGTTCTCCTATAGGATTTTGATGGATTCTTGTCTCACATTGAGATCTTTCATCCATTTTGAATTTATTTTTGTGTCTGGTATAAGAAAGTGGTCCGGTTTCATTCTTCTGCATTTGGCTGTCCAATTTCCCAACACCATTTGTTGAAGAGACTGTCTTTTTTCCATTGGACATTCTTCCTTGCTTTGTCAAAGATTAGTTGACCATAGAGTTGAGGGTCCATTTCCGGGTTCTCTGTTCTGTTCCATTGACCTATGTGTCTGTTTTTGTGCTAGTACCATACTGTCTTGATGATGACAGCTTTGTAATACAGCTTGAAGTCGAGAATTGTGATCAGGCTGGGTTTTCTTAAGATCAGTTTGGCATGATGTGGAGAATGGAGGGGTTAGTGTCTGGTTCAAGTAGGAAGCCGATGAGCAAGCAAGAAGTGATGATGGGAGCTATAGGAATGAAAAGAAATAGATGGTTCCAAATATACTTTGGAGATGCACCAACCAAACTTGGTAACTGGATGTGAAAGAGAGATTTGAGAAAGGAAAGTACGGAGGATAAGTTCTAGATTTCTGGCATGAGCACTAACAGGATGTGTGAATTTACTGAGAATGCTGGAAGAGAATCCAGTCTGGGGGAGGAGGGTCCTAAGTTCAGTGTTTGATGTGCTAAGTTTCAGATGCCCTAGAGGAGTGAGTATCTCAAGCAGGTGGTTGGATACCCACATTGTAAATCTTAGAATCACTGGCCTGGAATATTCAAAGTCCACAGTACATTAGATCATGGCAAGAGAATGCGGATTGAGAAGAAAATGAGCCTAAACTCCCATGTTTAAAATGTTGAATAGGGAAGGAGGAAGTATCAGGAGAACTAAGAAGAAACTTTCAGAGAGGCAATAACTGCTGACAATTTTTTTAAATTTTTTTTTAAAGATTTTATTTATTTATTTGAGAGAGAGAATGAGATAGAGAGCATGAGAGGAGGGAGGGTCAGAGAGGGAAGCAGACTCCCTGCTGATCAGGAAGCCCGACGTGGGACTCGATCCCGGGACTCCAGGATCATGACCTGAGCCGAAGGCAATCGCTTAACCAACTGAGCCACCCAGGCACCCAGCTGACAATTTTTTTAAAAAATATACCATCATTTTGAGTCAGAATTCCTATGTAAAAGTAACGGTGACAATCAGGAGACTTGACTTACAGATTAACAGCACCTGGAATTTCCTGGGCCTTTTGTCAGAGTCTGAAAAAAATGCTTATTTTTTCTGCCTCTTGATAATGTTGTTGTGAAAGTATTAAATAATGTCTGTGATATTAAAAATTAAATGTTATGAAAAGACATATATTGAAGCCAACATCATAATCATGTGTTTTCTTAGTGGATACTTAGAAGAGCTATTCTCAACCAAAAATGTGGCTATATTTATAGAGTTTATATGTAGAAAGAACCTTTTTTTTCCTGCTTGCAAATATTGTTCCTCCTTATTTATGGTAGTTTGGTGAAACATAGTTCTGACCATATGGGAGTCAGAAAGGAAGTCTGGAGTCTGGAAGTGAACAGTGGCCTCACACCTGGTTTGGAATCACTTTTTTTTCTTTTCTGGAGTTAACTCCAAAGACAAACCAGTCACAGGACAATTTACCATTATTATTATATTAGAGTCTAACTTTGGAAGAGCTTAAATCACTTTACAAGTTTGGTTTAATCAATAAAGTAGGTATTACTTTTCACAACATTCTTTGTGAGGCAGGTGTACTTGAAACAGTCTATTAACATGTGTTCTTTTCCACCTCCCACAGAGTTCCCTGGGGATACAGGGCCCACAGGGTCCACCTGGAAAAGAAGGTCAGAGGGTAAGTAAACTTGGGACAACTGGCAGGCATTACTATCTCAAGGCTTACTTATTTCTGAACATTAATAAAAATAAACCCAAAATACAGCAAGCAGATGGGCATAAGGAGAGTATTAACTATCCAAAGGCTGAAATTTGAGATCTGAGATTTTGACAGAGCTTTTACAATCCAGAAAGTTCTATATACTTTCAAGATTGGCAGCACAAATGTAGAAATACAGTTTAGGTGAAACGAATTAACTGTAATTTGATCTAGGGAACATTGCTCATATTTTGAGGTTTTGAGTTAAGTTGATGAGTATCTTTGTGGAGTTCCCGCCTGTTCATGAATTCTGTAAAGACTGTGAATATTAACTGCAGTCTTTAGTTGAATTAAATTATTGACTTTAGTGATGCTTTATAATTCTTCTTTCATTACAGTTTGCTGCCTTTGAGATAAAATATGTAGTAAGTGAGTAAATTGTAGTTGCAATAGTTAGTCTTAGCTTCCCCCAGTAAAGGGAACCCCTGCAGTGATAATGGGTAAGCTTCACTTCAACATTTTCAGCAGTGGGTCACCTCATTCTTATGGCTTATTGTTATTGCTATTTTCAAATCATTTTAATGTCTTGAAACATTTTATGTACTTGCTCATATGATTATTGTTATTAACTTTTGTTACCTTATAGATGAGGATTATATGACTCAGAGTTTAGGTGATTTGCCTAAAGTCAAAGAGCTAATAAAAAGTAGATCCAGGTGCTCGCTTTGGCAGCACATATACTAAAAAAAGTAGAGCCAGAACTTGAATATGGGGCTTCTGATTCTAAATCTCACGTTCTCTTTTACTGTCCTAGGGTATTAACCCCAAATCTCTTTTTTAGTCATTTTTGTTTATTATTCCCAATTTTGTCCTCTGGCAAATAAGTCTTTTGCCTCAAGTATATCAGAATCTTTCAAGTATTTGGGAGCCAGTAGTATATTTTACCAAGGTTTACCTTTTATCAGGTTAATAAAATCCCATGTCTCTTAACTCTCTCTTATATGGGTTTCGGACTCCCAACATGCTGATCTCAGAAAATACTCATGGACTTTGTGGCAGTATCAGGAATGGGACTAAACATGTGTGGTATTACTTAGGGCAGAGCAAAATGTGGCGAGTATGCCCTTGTACTATAGATAATATACTTCTATTGGAGCTTAAGATTGAGCTGATGCGCTTCTGTGTATTTTTTTAAACTAACTCCTTCTACTAGAGCAGCTTTGTTTCTTTGTTTTTATTTATTTATTTTTTAGTAGTACAATTAAGATTTGATTTGGACAATAATCAAAATTAAAAATTAAAAATTCTATGTTTACTTTTTACTACAAATGGCTAGTTTAGTGAACGCAAAAGGGCTTAATAACTTTTGATGGTTAAGAAAATAAAAGGAAAAGTTTTGTGAATAATGGCTAAGATTTATGAGCCACCTATAATGTGCTAAATGCTTCACATTATTATTTCATTTATTTATTTCTCACAATAGCTCTATGAGATATGTAATACTGTCATTCTCATAGAGAAACTGAGGTTTTTAAGCAACTTGGAAAGGACACATTGCAAATAAGTGGAACTATGCTGAAATTTTAAAATTATTTATAAAGCAGTCCTATCTGAGTTCTGCTCCCAATACCTATATATACAACTGTAGTTTCCCATTTGGCTCTCCAGACCCTCTCTATTCAGAAGTTTGTTAATCCACTTGATCAAAGTTTAAGTAGCATCAGGGAGAAAAATAGAAAATTACTTATCTAGATTTTGAGTCTGCCTTAAGCAATTAACTCATTGGGGCAGAAGACCAGATGAAATGACCTTGTGAAGTTAATTTCCAGGCTTCTTCTTCTGTTTTCTCCCAGTGATAGCCAAGATGTCTAATTGCATCTAGGACCATATTTCTGAGTTTATGTCTACGTTCTGCATCCAGAGGACATTTTCCTTCTAATAACTTTCCTTTCCTGCAAACTGAGTGATAAATTATACCTCCTAGTTAATATCCGGAATATATAAGGAACTCATGCAACTCAATAGCAAACCCCCAGGTACCCAATTTAAAAATGGGCAAAAAACCTGACTAGACATTTCTCAAAAGAAGACATACAAATGGCCAACAGGTACATAAAAAGGTGCTAAACATCACTAATCATCAGGGAATGCAAATCAAAACCATAATGAGATGTCACCTCATACCTGTTAGAATCACTGTTATCAGAAAGATAAGAGGTAACAAGTATTGGTGAGGACACGAGGAAAAGGGAACCCTGGTGCACTCTTGGTGGGAATGTAAGTTGGTGCAGCCACTGTGGAAAAGAGTATGGAGGTTTCTCCAAAAATTAAAAATAGAACTACCTTATGACCCAGCAATTTCACTTCACATTCAAAAGGAAATGAAATGAGCATTTCAAGGAAATATCTGCACTCTCATGATATGCAAACCACTTAAATGTGTATTGGCAGATGAACGAATAAACAAAATGTGATTCACAAACACACACAAATGCACACAATGAAGTATTATTCAGTCTTAAAAAAGAAGGAAATCCTGCCATTTGTGAGGACGTGGATGAACATGGAGGACATTATGCTCAGTGAAATAAGCCAGACACAGAAAGACAAATCCTGCATGTTCTCATTTATATGTCTAAATCCAAAAATATCAAATTCACAGAAACAGAGTAGAACGGTGGTTACCAGGGGCTGGGCTGAGGAGGATGGGGGAGATGTTGGTCAAAGCGTACAAGTTTTAGTTATACAAGATAAGTAAGTTCTGGAGATGTAATGTACAACAATGAGACTATAATTAATATTGTATACTTGAAATTTGCTAAAATGGTAAATCTTAAGTGTTTTCACCATAAAAAAAGAAAAAGGTAATTATGTATGAAGCGATGGATATGTTAATTAGCTTGATCATGGTGAATAGTTCACAATGTATATCAGATCATCAAGTTGTATACCTTAAATATATACAATTTTAGTCAACTGTATTCTCAAAATAGAAAAATATAATAATAAACAGATTTTTAGTTTTAATTCCCAAAAACTTATACTCTGTAGGTGGTTTGAGATGGAAATTATAGAGTTAGGTGCGTGAGGCTAGGTTGAGGGCATTATGTCTGAATTATCCCTCATATGACAGAGTTGTTTGTGTGTGTCTGTGGTAAGAATATTTGACATGAAATCTACCCTCTTGACAAATTTTTAAGTGTACAATGATACCACACTTTTGACTTAAACAACATGTGGTCAATTTGTAATGTTCCCTCTCTTTTATTTTATTTATTTTTATTTATTTTTTTATTCTTATGTTAATCCCCATCCCTCTCTTTTATTTTAATGAAAACTTCTGCCAAGTCAAATGTTCATCCCTGCTGTTTGTATATACAGTTAGTTGCCTTTTTGAATCACAGAGAAGGAACTGATTCCTGTCATTGTTAAATTTCATCTTCTGGATTTTAGTCCCTAATATCATTCTATTAGTTTTCTTTTCCAGTGAAATGGCTCCCAGCTTTATGTCACCGTAAAATTTGATAAGCCTATCCTCTAAGTCTTCATGCAAATCTTTAATAAATCCCGAACAGAGTAGAACCTGACAATTGCATGTACCAACAAAGGCTGCCATCTTGATTACCACTGATGTTCTTATGGCATGATAATTAAATCATGTACAAATACATTAAACGCTGCCTCCTTCCCACCCACATTTCTTAATTTGGCTTGTAAGATAATTATGAGAGTCCTTGTCAGAGACTAGCTGAAATGAAAAAATATTCAAATGAGGCTTTTTAAAAATAATAATGCTTCAAATTGAAATTGTACCCTCTCAAAGCTTGCATTTCAGAGGAAGGTGGGTTAAAGAATTAATTAAACTTATGTATTCTTCATAATTATGGAGGAACATACTCAAATTATAAAGTTCAACCACTACTTTATGCAAATTTACTCCATTTATAAATATGTATAGTCTCAATAATTTAATATTACTTTTATTTTAGCCTCTATCAAGAGTAACAGTGTCAGAAACTAAAGAATGTAAAAGAATTTTATAGATACTGTTAGGCATGGCTTGTCGTTATTACTACCGGCTTTCACAAGTGCCATTATTTATTGAGGAAAGAAGCTGGAACAGGTATTATTGACATTATCCACATTTACAAATTATTATTTTCAAATACAATCCATGATTTATTCTGCTTTATAAGCTACTTAAAAGGGAAGCAATTAATTTAAGAAATGAGCATTCTTGGGGCGCCTGGGTGGCTCAGTCGGTTAAGCATCTGCCTTCGGCTCAGGTCATGATCCCGGGGTCGTGGAATAGAGCCCCACATCGGGCTCCCTGCTCAATGGGGAGCCTGCCTCTCCCTCTCCCTCTGCCTGCCACTCCCCCCGCTCATACTCTCTCTCACTCTTTCTCTGTCAAATAAATAAAATCTTAAAAAAAAAAAAGGAAATGAGCATTCTTACATATTTACAGTTAGGTCCATCTTAGTGCCACCATTCCTTCTCTGCTCGAGAGTTAGGTAGCACTCAGCTCTTTTAGACATACTAATGTACTTATATGTATATGTGTGCGTATGCATACACACATACTGCAAGCTAAGACCAATAATTTTTCCATTTCACTGAAGCACGCAATAGAAGACAAAAGAAAAGTCTATGAATTTAAAATTATTTTTTATTGACACATTATCAACAAAACTCTTTTATTTTGATTACAGGTGTTTGACCAGGAAGGAATTGACAATCATTAAGTTAATTGAAATGACATATAAAATATGTGGCAAGTCTTATACATACTTTAATTCTGGGCATAAATGTCTTTAATGAAAGCAGAACATTTAATTTAATTTAATTTTTTTTTCAGAACATTTAATTTTAAATAAATCATTGACTTCTTCATTTTCCTCAGTGGTTAAAGAGATACTAGCTTCTGCCCTACCAATATCTCACAATTATGGTCAATTTCAAACATAGGTGTCACAAAA